TCTTGATGGTGAGAGAGAGATACACACACACACATATGTTCTAATATGTTTGTTAAAAAATTTAAACAAGAGTAGAAAGAGGAGATATAGATACATCTCTACAAAAAATACATATTAAAAAAAATCCGAGGAATATGCTAGTCAAAGGAATACGGTAGGCCCCAAAGAAAACCTCAACACAGTCATAGATACAACTCTTAAATACTAGTTGACCATATTGTAGAAATTAACATCAAACATTTAAATCAAACAATACAAGCCACTTGAGAATTTTAGAAAACATTCTCCCCCACACTCTTCTAACAAGGAGAAAATGTTTGAAAAGAGAAAAGACTGAAATTAGAGATAAATTTGAGAAATGATTGACTATGATTACACTACTTGTCAAAGTTATGGGAGGCAGGCAATGTTATACTCAAAGAATGCAGTAAACAATGAGGATAGCAAGTAAATGAATCAGATGTTCAGTTCAGTTAGATGAATAATGAGAGAAGAGTACAACAAAGAAAATAATGATGCTAAAATTAAATGATCAATTAGAAAAAAGGAAAACATTAATATCAGCAGGCAATAAAAAGACCAAAAAAAGAGCTAGTGCTTTGAAAAGACCACTAAAATAAGCACAAATATACAACATTAGGAGGTTTCCCTGGTAGTTCCGGCCTGCAGTGCAGGAGACTTGGATTTGAACCCTGGGTCAGGAAGATCCCCTGGAGAAAGGGAATGGCAATCCACTCCAGTATTCTCCAGTATTCTTGTCCCACGGACAGAGGAGTCTGGTGGGCTACAGTCCATGGGATTGCAGAGTCGGATGTGACTAACACTTTAACTTTCATACAACATTAGAAATAATGGAGAAGGAAATGGCAACCCACTCGAGTATTCTTGCCTGGAAAATCCCATGGAAGGAGGAGCCTGGTAGGCAACAGTCCGTGGTGTCGAAAGAGTCGGGGACACGACTGAGCGACTTCACTTCACTTCACTTTGAGACAAGAACCCTCTGTGTCTCCTTTTGCCTGGCAAAGGAATAAAACTTTTCTACTTCACCCCCCCCCCAAAAAAAACAAGAAATAAGAAAGGGGACACAATTACAGGTATAGAGGAGATATTTAAATTGTAAGATAACTCAAGATGATTTAGAAAACATTCCAGAAAATCTGATTCATGACCATCCCCCAAAAGGGAAAAAAATCTACTCTTCAAAAAAGACACCTGTCTCGGATAGCTTTTCAAGAAACTTCTATAAGCTTGAATTGCTTATGTCCTTTATTCTACAACAGAGAAATTATAAGAATAGTATTTTAACATTTATTGAGTATTTAATATGTGCCAGGCACTATGCTAAGCAATTTATATATATCATCATGTTCAAAAAAGCTTACAAACTCATTGAAAGAGATTAGTATCAAATAGATACGAAAACTTGACAAGGAAATCATATATATGCAAAAAAATTGAGCACATTTACAAATATAGATAATAGCCTAGATAAAACAATAATAAATGGAATCAAGCTAGAAACTAAAATAATAGTATGTCATGACCAAATACAGTTTTTCCTCCTGGGAATTAATGGTTCAACATAAAGAAACCTAGTGATATCATTCATTATACTAAAAAGTGAAAGGACACCTTCAGAATCCAAAAAACACCTATCCCTGAGTTAAAACAAGACAAGAGCAACAACAAAACTCTTAGTAAACTAGGTGTACAAGGCAACTTTCTTAATGTGATTTTTTAAAAGTCACCTAAGGAAGTCAACAATAAACATCATACTGAACAAGAAAACATAAGAAACTTTTTCATGAAAGACAGGTACAAAGCAAAGTTGCCTTTTCTAACCACTTCACATTATACAATGTTGCCCTGGCAGTTCTGGCCAAATCAGTGAAACAAAGCTACAAAAAGGTAATATGTATAAATATTGGAAGGAAAAAAGTTTTTATTATTCCTAGGTGATATGACTATTTACCTATAAAATCTGAGAAAAAAAGAATCAATGGAAAAACTTACAAGAATAAAAGAGCCCAGTAGGATGGCTAGATATAGTATGCGTGTGTGTGTGTTAGTCACTCAGTTGTGTCCAACTCTTTGTGACCCCATGGACTGCAGCCAGCCAGGTTCCTCTGTCCATGTGATTTTCCAGGCAAGAATACTGGAGTGGGTTGCCATTTCCTTCTTCACTATATATATATACACATACATATTAATGAATGTTAATGATAATCAGTTAAAAACTATAATGGAAAAGATTCCATTCATAATATTATTGCATATTATCTCGTAGGCAGTGTGCGCTCAGTCATGATCACCTCTTTGAAACCTCATGGACTGTAGCCTGCCATGCTCTTCCCGTCCATGGGATTTCCCAGGCAAGAATAATGGAGTGGGTTGCCATTTCCAGGAGCTCTTCCTGACCCAGGGATCTAACCCATGTCTCCTGAGTCTCCTGCATTGCAGGCAGAATCTTTACTGCTGAGCCATCTGGGACCTTCACTACATGTTGTAAATTTAACTATAATTTAAAAGTTCAAGATATTTGTGAGAGCGTTAAAAGTTCACCCAGGTATGCTATCTTTTTGCTAAAAAAGGGAAAAATAAGTCCTATAAGACTATATACTTATATCTGTGTGTATATTCATAAACTCTGGAAACTTTTAAAGTTGGTGAAAGTGAAAGTCATTCAATCATGACTGACTCTTTGTGACCCCATGGACTATGCAGTCCATGGAATTCTTTTTCAAACCCAAAAAATGTAACCAGAGATGAGGTCAATTCGTCCAAGATTTAATTCCATCTCAATCAAAAATCCCAAAGAACATGCGAATTCTGAAGCTGCCTGAATTGTAAGAGCAAAAGAAGCCGCACAAATTGTAAAAGCAAAATTATTTCTGAAGAGTGGGAATTCAACCTACTAAATATAAAGCTACTGAATTCCTTATAGCAGTAAGGATTAGCAGAGGAATTGTGTTCTGCACTCTGTTGGTGCAGAACAGAGATTTACAAACATATTCATGACTACATGGACATGTAGTACAAGGTTAAAAGGGCATTTCAGATCAAAGCCAAGAGCCGATTATTCATAAGCTAGAGGAATATACGGTACAACATGGGGCACATAGCCAATGTTTTATAATGACTATAAGTGAAGTATAATCTTTAAAATTGTGAATCACTATCCTGTACATCGGTAACTTATAGAATATTGTACATCAACTATGCTTCAATTTTTAAAAAATGGGAAAAATCAAACAAAAAGAGTGGATTATTCAATGAAAGTTGTTGAGAAAACTGGCTTTCTATCTGGAGAGAAACGAGAAGCAAGTGTTCCTATCTTATATCACACACAAAGATAAGTTCCATGGGAGTTAAAGATTTAATGATAAAAAGAAACTATTAAAATAGAGTATAAGTAAATATTTTCAATATTGGCATAGGCAAACTCTTTGCTAGGATGACCAAAGCCAGATACCATAAAGGAAGAGATTAATGGATTAGACTATATAGAACTAAGAACTTGAACACAACACCTTATATTAAATGAATGACAAAGGTCAACACAGGAAAAATGTGTGCACTATAACAAGCTCTTATAATTGAAGTGTAATTCCTAAGAGTAAACAAACCAACAAGCAAAGAACCTCAGTAAGCAATTCACAAATGAAGAAGCTCAATGACCAATAAACACATGAGAAGTCACTGGACAACCTCAATAATAAATAAAGAAATCCAAACTCAAACAATAATATCAGCCCTTGTGGAATCTGGTAGCACAGGTGGTAAACCTCCTAGCAGGAAGCAAGTGTAAGTTATAGTTTAGCAGGAATGGAACTCTGTCTGAGTGTGCCCCTTATGGGCAAAGAATACCTTCACTTTGTAAGCTGATCCCCGAGAATCTTATACAGCTATTTGTTGTAGGTGGGTGAGAGTAGAATGTTAAAAGTTCACCCAGGTATGCTATCTTTTTGCTAAAAAAGGGAAAAATAAGTCCTATAAGACTATATACTTACATCTGTGTGTATATTCATAAACTCTGGAAACTTTTAAAGCTGGTGAAAGTGAAAGTTGCTCAGTCTTGACTGATTCTTTGTGACCCCATGGACTATGCAGTCCATGAAATTCTCTAGGCCAGAATATTGGAGTGGGTAGCTTTTCCCTTCTCCAGGGGATCTTCCCAATCTAGGGATCGAACCCAGGTTTCCTACATTGCAGGCAGATTCTTTACCAGCTGAGCCACAAGGGAAGCCCTTTAAAGCTGGTAACAATGGTTAACCTTGGATTGGGGAGGGAGAAGGGATGGGTATTAGGCAGATGTGGGACAAAATGGAATGGAGACTTTGTTCTCTCTATAAGTTTTGTTAGCAATTTTTTGAACCGTATTAATGTATTTTATTTGTCTCAAAAAACCTGAATTTAAATTCCTGTGCTGTTTGGTAAAAATAATTAAAATGGGACTTGACTTTCTTCATATAGACCCTCCCAGGAAGTTCGGGAGTGCTTTTGAACCAGGAACTAACTACCCACATCTCATTCTACAATCTAGCTTAGGGGACTGAGTGGCAGCGCTTATGGAAAATTCCACTCTTTAAGAGTTTTTATTTTTTCATTTTTATTTATTTATTTTTTCTTTAATAAGAGTTTTTAAAGGGCAGTTTGGTAACATGTATTGAAATGTAAAACTTTCATATCCCTTCACCGAGTCACGGTATTTTAAAAAATTTATCCTGAAGAAATGACTGGATATGGGTGAAAAGATAATTCTGCAGCATTATTTTCTTGTGAGGGGAAATTGGGAACTATTACTATCCATCCATTCCCACGGGAAAGCGTAAACTGTGGTCATGGCTACTGATACTGCTGGTGTGTGGACCACATTGTGAGTTGCAAGACCTCAGAAGCTCCTTGACCCACGCCCCGGCTGTTAGGCTCTGGATCTCTGCTCCCCGCACCCTCTACCTGGCTCTTAGATGCACCACCCCACCCTCGGCCGGCCTGCTCACCTGGTCAGCATAGGAGTGCGGTGATTGGGGTTGGAGCAGAAGATGTTGTTGGACTTGCGGGTGCCGTCCAGAAACTCCCGTATCGACTGGCTGCGGAGCTCCGCCAGGGGCCGGGCCTCGTGCTTGAGGAACCACTGGTGAGCCTCGAAGCACTTGTGGCAGATGAGCTGCTCGCACTCGAAGCACCAGTAGTTGGCCGGCTCTTTGCAGCGGGTGCAAAATGCCTGCTCGCGTGCGATCTGCTGGTACACCGACAGCCGCCGCTGCAGGCTCTCAAAGAAGACGTTGTCCAGGGCTTGCGTGCCGGCGCCTGAGGGCCACGGGGCCCGGCAGACCGGACACTGCACGCCGGACTCCTCCAGGCATCCTGAACACAGCGTGTGCAGACAAGGCAGGAGCTTGGGGCACTTAGCTTCTGCCCGGCAGCCCTGGCAGCGCAAGAACTGGAACTCTTCCTCCGTGGCTTGCTGGGGAATCAGAGAGGGAGGTAAGACGTGAAGTCCCAGGAGTCCCCACCCGACCGGATACCCATCCTGTGGCTGCATGCTGACAGTGGCACTTCCTGTTTCATACCAGGCTGTCATTGGATGACACAAAAACCCAGGCTTATCAGTATCCCAGTCCTCCACTGACTTAGGCCTTCCCACACTCACTCCACGATTTACTGAGCATCTGCTTCTCATGAGACAAGATACACAGATGTATAGCAACAGTCCCCAACCCTTTGGGGACCAGGTTATGGCTTCCTGAAAGACAGTTTTTCTATGGGTGGGGTGATGTAGGGATGATTTAAATGCATTACGTTTATTGCGCACTTTTTTCCATTTCCACTGTGATAATTTGGTAGTGCAAGCGATGAGAGCAGCTGTAAGTACAGATGAAGTTTTGCTCTCTTGCTGACTGCTTGCCACTGTGAACCCAGTTCCTAATAGGCCAGGACAAGTGCCAGTCCATGGTCTGGAACTTGGGGACCCCTGATTCCAGGACAAACCCTTGCCTTCAAGCGACTTTAAAAAAGGAGATTCATTAAATGTGGGTCATAAAGCCTCACACAAAATGCTTACTGCACTTTGATGGTTCCTCAAAAACTTAAACATAGAACTACCATAGGCTCCAGCAATTCTACACCTAGCTATATACCCAAAAGAACAGAAGACAAGGATCCAGATGCTTGTACATCCATTATTCTGTACACGGCATTACTCACAAAGGTGGAAACAACTCAAGTGTCCATCAACAGATAAATGGAAAAACAAAATGTAGTATGTACATACAATGGAATATTATTTAGCCTTAAAAAGGACATTCTGATACATGCTACAACATGAATATACCTTGAAGACATCATGTTAAGTAAAGCCAGCCAAACGCAGAGATAAATACTGTAGGATTCCACTTACATAAAATATCTAGACTAGGCAAATTCAGAGAGACAGAAAGTAGATTAGAGGTTATCAGCAACTAGGGGGAAGAGGAGAATGAGGAGCTGGAAGGGTACAGATTTTGTTTCAATGAAAAAATTCTGAAAATAGACGGTGGTGATGGTTACAAACATTGTGGGATGCATTTAATGCCACTGAATTGTACACCTAGAAACAGATAAAACATACATAACATAATACAGTACCTGGCACATGAGAAATACTCAAACATGTTAACTAGTATTGTAAAAATTATTCCTAGGTGTTATAATGCAACTAATAAAAGTTAATGCAATATGGTATTATTTGTACTTTCATGAAAGAGAGTAAAAAGAGCCTGGAAGAAAACAGAGCAAGTGATCTAAGCACTTCCTTTGGGGGTGGGGAGTTTGTGCAGGAAAAGACCAGTAAACCCCTAAAAAACCCCTTGGGATGAGGGTTGAGGGAGCACGGTGCTCCAGGAAAAGGATCCAAGAAGTTTCCTGGAGGAGAAACCACAGGAACCCTGAGCCTTAGCCAAGACATCTCTCTCCCACTTTCTGATCTGGGAACAAGGGTTCTGGCTTTTGCACACCTGGCCCATGTCCGGGGGTGCCAGGCGGGTACAATAAGACTACTACCTCCATTTTCCTTAACAGGTGGTCCTTCATCTGAGGTAGGGGATAAGAGGCATGTCGCCAGCTTGGGCGGAAGAGTCTGGCCCGGAGTTCCACTCACCCTCAGCATCACCCCGCTGCTCCTGGGGAATCGCAACCCAGAGACCCCTCCCTCAAACTCATGCTGATCCCCCTTTCTACTTTCCACGACCCCTAACCCTGCCGAGAAGGTCAGGACCCTCGCACCTGGTCTCCCTTCTCTGCGTCATATTTCAAGGTACTTGGTCAAGTTCCCCGGTCCCCCCATTCCACCGACCATACCTAATTAACAAAGCCCGAACCCCATCTCCCCAAACGCATAAGTACCTCCGTGGGGCTGTCGCTGTGGCTGGACTGGTGGCCTTCGGAGAGTGACTCCGGGGGAGGCATGCTGGGGGAGTGGGGCAGCGCGGGGTCCTGCTGGGGCCCCGGCGATCCGGTCGGTTCCGGATCCTGCTGCATGGAGTCCCGCGCAGTTTCGATTCTCAGTTTTGCTCTTCGAGAGCGGAGAAGCTGAAACAGAGACAGGCGCCAGAACGCTGAGCTCCAGGAGCAGCCCTAAAGGGGAGGTGCCAGCTCAGGGCCCGCCTCCCAGAGGAAGTGAGGCACTAGCTACCGGCAGTTCTAGAAGCGGAGAGGCTGGGCCAGGGTCCTGAAGACACGCCCAGAGCGGTGAGGAGGGAGAGAAGTCACCCGCTGGACTGTGGCAGAACTTCAGGATAGAGGCCGTCCCTGCCCTCGGCGTGGAATCTTTCATTCAGCTTACCCTGGCACAGCTTCGTGCCAGCCCTCAGATGGGAGCAAGATCCACACAGCCGGGCCACGCGTGGCCCCTACTTTGGAAAAAAAAGTGAAAGTGTTAGTCTTCTAGTCGTGTCCAACTCTTTGGGACCCCATGGACTGTCCTCTTCTAGGCTTCTCTGTCCGTGGGATTCTCCAGGCAAGAATACTGGAGTGGGTAGCCGTTCCCTTCTTCAGGCCATCTTCCCTACCCAGGGATGGAACCCAGGTCTCCTGCACTGCAGGCAGATTCTTTACTGTCTGAACCACCCCAGATCTAACAGAGGAGCAGGCTCCCAAAGGGAGATTTTCACAGTGTTGAGACTGGCTGGAGAGGAGATCATGCAGCTGGGATTTGAAGTGATGGTGGGAATTTGCCAGGGATTCAGAGGCCGGGGATGGGTGAGCGACCCTTCAAACCGAGAGAACAGCACATGCAAAGCCATGGAGGTTTGAAACAGAACCTGTTTGGAAACTAGTTTTGAAAAAAACAACTCGTTTTGGTTATTTTCAGATTCAAGAAGGGACCCATGTATAATGTCAGACCAGGATGGGCTGGGCAAGATGATAGCTAAGGAGATGGACCAGGGTTGGGACAACAGAGTTGGTGAAGGGTTTGGAAACAAGGAACCATGTCCATTGTGTATGTTAGGACAGTCTCTCTGACAAGCTAGGCCAGGTGGTCTGGGAGAGTGGCTGTGGGATGAGAGGAGGGACCCGAATCAGACATTGGGAGGACGCTGAGTGGACATGAGGGAGAACAGGATGATGCCTGGTGTGACAGCTGGAAGGGCTGGTGGATCTGAGGCAGTAGGGAATGGGGAGAGCTGGTGGGCAGGTATGAGAAAAGTGAGAAGACAGCAAGTTAGTAATGGGTCAAAGGAGAAGTCCCAGCTCTCAGCTGGTGAGGGGAGAAGGCACAGCTCCAGGTGGCATCACTGGGCCAGTGCTCCTGTCTTCAAACCTCAATGCATTCCAATCATTGTGATGACTCCCATGTACCCATTTTGTGCTCAGTTCCAGCTTGGGACAGACTAGAGGGACAGTGACAGGACCTTGCCTCTTGTACCACTTTAATAGTTGGGGGTGGGGTGAACTTATAGTTCAGGGTGGGGGTGGGAGGATAGGGGAGAACTAATTCCTAGGGACAGTGCAAAAACCTCAAGAGCCTACTGCATGCACCCTGCTCCTTGATCAGTGCCCCCAGGGTTTTAAAACCAGGCTATGAAGCTAGGAAAAGCCAAAGATGGTGAGCAGCCATTTGCAGAAGGGACCTGGAAGTGGACTATGGCTGAGGGGCCTTAGGAGGCAGGACCGGAATGTGTGGAACAAGAAGAGCTTGATTAATTTCTTTGCCCACTTTGGAACACAGCCTGCCTTGTTGGAAACTAATACTTGTTGGTATACAGAGTAAATTCACATTTTGCATTTGGTTTTCTCAAGCCAGGAAGAAGTAAGTTACCTCTGGGTACCTGGATTGTGGGGTGTGCTATTTCAGCATCTGCACGAATGAGGGTCTTGCCTCTGTGATGCTCGGGAGGGCTGCCCTGGGATAGCACTGTGCAATCCCCTTCTTCTTTACTGTGCCTTGCTCCCCGAGATCTGCACACAGGATTTCTTTCTTTTTGTGCCTGAGCTCAGGCCCTCCTGCCCCAGGTTGACCCACAATGACCTGGTTACCCTTTCATTCAACAGACAAGCACTGACATCCTCTCTTTGCCAGGCCTTGCTTGCTGGGCTTTGTTGTTGTTCAGTCGCTCAGTCATGTCCGACTCTTTGCAACCCTATGGACTGCAGCACGCTAGGCTTCCCTGTCCTTCACCATCTCCCAGAGTCTCCTGGAGCTTGCCTCAACTCATGTCCATTGAGTTGGTGATGCCATCCAACCATCTCATCCTCTGTCGTCCCCTTCTCCTACTACCTTCAATCTTTCCCAGCATCAGGATCTTTTCTAATGAGCCGGCTCTTCGCATCAGGTGGCCAAAGTAATGGAGCTTCAGGGATACGAATGGGAATAATGTGCTGATTATGCCTTGGAGAAACCCTAAAGACAACCTTTCCCAAATCCCGTCCAGAATTTGTTAGTTTGTGCTGAGACTGCTGGTAGCATTTCTTTGCTTCTGGAGAAGATTCAGCTCCTGAAAACTCCCTTACAAAGCTCAGCTTCTCTTCCTGCTCCTTTTCTAAGACCCAGTGGGAAAATGTGTATGAGCGGACCGCTGCGGGCCTCCAGGGACACATGACTACCCTTCCTCCCAGCCCCGCGGTCGCAGTTCGGTCCTCCCAGCGCAGAGGGCGCTACGCAACGGTACAAGCCGGGCGCGGTTGGCCTCCTCCTCCTGCACTCGAGCCGCCCCCCGCCCCCGCCCGGCTGCACAGGCGAAACCGGAAGCGGTGGCCGGCGGGGGCGGGGCAGTGTAGCTGCTGGCTGGTCGAGCCTCGCACTGCCCTGGGGCGCGGGGCGTGCCCTCTGTTGGGAACCATGCTTGGCAGGTCTGGGTACCGGGCGCTGCCTTTGGGGGACTTTGACCGTTTCCAGCAGTCGAACTTCGGCTTCCTGGGCTCGCAGAAGGGCTGCTTGTCCCCGGAGCCGGGCGGCGTGGGGCCGGGGGCCGGTGAGTGGCCGCCCAGCGCAGCGGATCCGAGGGAGATCAGCAGGCACCCCCGAACTCTCTGTCTCTTGGGAGTCAGCGTGTCTTGCGTTTTCGCAGCCTAAGAGGAGGGACCGAGAGGGGTTTTCCACGATGTGGAGAAGGGGTTGGATCTGGCGCTGGGATACTACCGCCCATCCGCCCTTCTTAGAGCTACGGGGCGGCAGCACTGGAGCTCTCTCATCTTCCAAGAAGCCTCACCCCACCTCGTTTCTGCTTGGCATTTATCAGCCCAAAGGTTTCAGGTTTCCATTTTGCCCAGAAAGAAACTAAGGTCAAGGCATAGGAAGTCATCAGCACTCCAAGAGCACTTGGCCGCCGAGAAGTGGCAGAATCTTAACCTCACGGAACACCTCTAGATTTCCTCAAGCTTGAGTATCTCCCGGTTTCCTGGTGGAGATGCGCAGGCCAAAAAGTCAGGCCCTTAGATGCCTGTCGTGTCTTCCCAGGCCCTGTTTTTCTCCAAAGCCTTGAGTAATTCCCTTGACCCAGAGGTCAGATCCCACATGCCTCAGACTGACAACCAAGCCCCAGAGGATTCGGCCCTTCTGTGATCCCCTCCTCTAATGACAGCTGTCCCTATCCAAGAGTTCTTTTCCTGCTGGGGCCACATGGGTCAGAAGCAGGAAAGGAGATTTAGTATTCTGGTGCTCAGAGAGCCCAAAGGGTATGGTGTTCCTGGAAGGGTGGAGCAGAGGATTCTGTCTGCTTCCAGTTCAGGGCTGGGAGAGGATCCCCAAGATCCTGGGGTTTTCTCAGCTTTCAATCCCATCCTGGGGTTCTCATTCACCAGGGGTAGGGACCTGTGCTTCAGCCAAGTCTTTTCTTCCTAGTCCCTCTCCCCCACCTCTCTTCTGAAGCTGCTTCAAGTGAAGCGTGCATTTTGATGGTCATTAGGACATTAAAGTGTGAAGAATTCTGAGCTAAGCAAGAGCATCTTAGCCCTCATCTGTGGCATCTGTTGAAGAGCCATTGACGCTTTATCCCTTTTGGTTAACGCATTACCTCCAAATTGAAAGCATACTTCCGGGGCTGATAGTGGAGGAAGTGTTATGCCAGCAGCATTCAGTTCAACCCAGCATGTGTTTACAGATGCTGAGTTCCTCCTGGCTTTACCAGAAGTGGGAGGCAGTTTAAATCAGACAAAAGGATTGACTCCTGCTCAGCCCAGTGAGGAGAGCCCAGTCCTGTGAATAACTTCTCAGTTCCAATTACTGCTGCCTAGCAGAGAATGAGCCTTGTGAGGTTGGAGCTTGGAACAAATTGATTCTGATATGTGGGAGGAAGGAACAGTCCTTAACTAGCTCCTGCCCACAGATATGGAGTTAGTATTAGGCAAGGCAAGTATCTGATGGTCTTTAGGGCACTACAGTGAAGTGAAACACTGTGAGTTAGGGAAGAACACCTTAGATCTGAGAAGGAAGGAGCCACTGAAAGGGGAGATGGGCAAAAGGTGCACTTGACCAAGTTCACTCAGCCTGCAGCTGTCATGCCAGACCCAGTTGGCATTTCTTGACTGTCTCTGCTGTCTTGTCCCCAGATGCACCTCAGAGCTGGCCCTCCTGCTTCTGTCATGGCCTCATCAGTTTCCTGGGGTTCTTGCTGCTGCTGATCACCTTCCCCATTTCTGGTTGGTTTGCCCTGAAGGTAAGGCTGGCTGGGTCAGTCCCCAGAGTGGTTGGGCCACACTGAGAGCTTTAACATTGGTGCATGAATTTCCTGTCCTCTGCCCGCTTCCTCTTAAGTATTATCACACCTGTGTGAAATGGGCGCAGACGGTAAAGAATCTGCCTGCAGGGTAGGAGCCCTGGGCTCAACTCCTGAGTTGGGGAGATCCCCTGGAGAAGGGAATGGCACTCCACTCCAGTATTCTTGCGTGGAAAATTCCATAGACAGAGGATCTTGGTGGGCTATGGTCCATGGGGTCGCAAAGAGCCGGACATGATTGAGCAAAGAACACTGTGAAATGGGCTGGACAAGAACTGTTCATTCTCACCTTTCAGACGAAACTGAGGTTCAACTTTACTGGGAGCCAATAAGTGGCAGAAGCAAATCTTCCCAAATGCCCAAGTTTAGGGGTCTGAACGCTGGCATGAAGGTGCACACAAATATCTTCTTCCCTTTGGGTTAGGCTGTTAGAAATGAAAAACCCTCAACCTGGCCCAGCAAGTGATGAGTAGTAGGAATTTCAGCCTCATTTTCAACCAGGGATGGGGCAGAAGGGAAAGGATGAGCTGGGGTAGATGCTCACACCTGAGGGCTGCAGTGGAGGTGGAAGCTGACCCTCCTGCAGCCCCAGACAACAGTCACTGTCTCTGGAAAGTTTAGGGTTTGGGGTGCTCTGGAAGGGAGTCCTTAGAAGGCCCTAAATCCTAATTCTAAAACTGCCACTGAAACAAATATTGTGTGACCTTGGGCAAGTCACTGCCTCTCTGAGCCTTCATTTCTCAATTTGGATATATTTCCTTCCTTGAGGACTCCAGGAACCTGAAGCTGGCAAAGCCCTTCCCTCAGGGTTGCTGTTAGAGCGGCCCAGCTTGTCCCTTGACTAAGACAAGGGCAGACAGTTTCCTGGTTTGAGTCATGTTTAGCTTTAGACCACACAGGTAAAAGGTTTGACAGACAATCAAGTCAGTACAGTATGGCAGTTGAGAGCGTGGCTTTTGGAGTCACTCAGAACTGCCTTCAAATCTTGCCTGTTTCACTTGGGGACTTTGTGGGTTTTGAGCAAGTCAGTTAATCTCTCAGAGCTTGTTTTTTTTCATCTGGAAACAGCTAAGGATCCCTGACCCTGAACCTGAGGGAGAGAGGCGAGGGAAAGACCTAGTCAGACATAATTGTCAGCATCAGCTCAGTGCTTTTGACCCTTTCCCTTGCTATTATGAGCAGATTGTGCCCACCTATGAGCGCATGATCGTGTTTCGACTGGGCCGGATCCGCACCCCTCAAGGACCTGGTATGGTTCTCCTCCTGCCCTTCATCGACTCTTTTCAGAGGGTAGATCTGAGGACACGAGCCTTCAATGTTCCTCCCTGCAAGGTGAGGGGCTTCTCAGCTCCCCCGGACTGGGGAAGTGGGGAGCTTGTGTGGGTGTGTTGTGGATGTCAGTACCTTGGCCTGTGAGTAGCCATCAGGGCTGAGGGGTGGGGAAGACACCAGAAAAAGGAGGAGGGAGGCTAGGAGGACATTCTTGCTCTATGTATCTAATCCCCTGCACTTGGGGTTTCCATTTTGTTCTTGAGGAACCAGTGACCAGGCAAGAGGGTCAGGTTAGGTGGTCTCAGTGGGCCTGGCCTCCCTGCAGCCCGTGCCCCTCTTTCCTGGCCTCTCCTAACAGTTGGCCTCTAAGGATGGGGCAGTGCTATCCGTGGGGGCTGATGTCCAGTTCCGCATCTGGGACCCGGTACTGTCGGTGATGACAGTGAAGGACCTGAACACGGCCACACGCATGACCGCCCAGAACGCCATGACCAAGGCCCTGCTCAGGAGGCCCCTGCGAGAGATCCAGATGGAGACGCTCAAGATCAGCGACCAGCTCCTGGTAGGCAGCCCCGCACCGGGCAGAGTTCCGTGGCTGGCACGTGGGCCCGGCTCTGCCTGCCGGGGCACTTTAGCGAAGCACCAGATCTCTCTGGGCCTCAGTTTACCTTATGTCCCAAGAGTGTAACAACTTGTGAAGAGTCAGCGGTCTTGGTCGGACTGTGGGCTGAGGGATGGAAGGTGGGCACAGACCATAGTGACCTTGGGCAAACCGGGCCTGAGAGGTGAAGGGGCTGGGCCAGGGGAGTGGCCTGACAGGAATTCTCGAGTCTTGCCCCTGACTGCCTGAGGTTTCACTCTTCATTGCCCTGCAGGCATTGCCATGACAACGCTGGGCCTCAGGGGCACTGAGCAGCCTCATGGGTGGGCAGATGGGTGAAAGGAGCAGGGGCCTTCTTGGCCCAGTTACCTTCTGGGGAATTCCATGCTCCCCAAGGCAGCATGTGTGTTTTTGTAGTTTTGTGTTCTTTGTTCTGGATCTTTTTCCTGCCTCTTCTCTTGAGTGTGAGCAGTTACACTGGAATTAATCTCAGATCCCTCCTGTGACAAGAGGGGTTGAAATACACATGTGAGGGCATGTCAACTGCTCCTCATGCTCACCTCAGGCTTTCTTCCATGTCCTGGCAGGAGACCGTAGGTGAGGTTTCTCCTTGTTCCCCTAGCCTCTGTCTTCCCCAGGGCTAGACAGGGAAGGGAGTGGGTAATGCCAGTCCTGGAGGTTCCAGTGCCTTCAGGAAATAAATCACCTGGCTGAAATTCGCAAGAAAATTCTACTTGTGATAGTAGAAGTATTGTTATACTTCTCACACGCATAGTATTTTGCCTGCCTCAGTGTATCTCAGCTTTGCATTTTTCTGCACAAAGGCTAGTATCACTCTTTTATTTTGGAGGAAGGAAATTAAGGCTCAGAAGTTATTTGACTTGCCCCTAAGAGCCGTGGTCAAGGGCAGAGCTGGGCCAGAGCCAGATCACCTGCCCCTGCCCTCCAGTTCACTGCTTGCTACTGCTAAGTCGCTTCAGTTGTGTCCGACTCTGTACGACCCCGTAGATGGCAGCCCACCAGGCTCCCCCGTCCCTGGGATTCTCCAGGCAAGAATACTGGAGTGGGTTGCCATATCTTCCTCCAATACATGATTGTTCTTGGCCTTTGTTTTTGGGCTTGCTGCACATTACTTTGGTGCAGCAAAGCCAAGAGAGGCCATTTGGGGGTGTGAGTCCCGTACCAGGGCATTAGAGTCCTTTAGGGCCATTACCCAGACTGACTTAGCTCCCGGCAAAGTGGATTCAGTGCCTGGATAAAATGAAATCTCAGGAAATCCAGCCCACCTTCAGCAAGGCCTGGTTCAGACATACTTCTCTCATTTTCACTCCTCCATTTGCCTGTTTTGCACCTGGAGGGATTGCACGCTTCCCACCTCTCCCTTGCCGGCCCTCTTAGCTGCTTATCCACTTGTGCCTGCTGCTTCACCCCTCCCTGCCCCACCCAGCCTCCTCTACTGCTGGCCCCAGCCCCACCCATCCCTTTGCAGCAGGCCTGGCCTCTTAATCCTCAGGAGAAAGTGCTCTAGGGTGAGAACTCTTTCAGCTTCCTCCAGGGTTACCCCTTGAAGCTCTTCTATCTCTGTGCTGTTTTCCTGCCTCCCTGGAAGCATCTGGTTCCTCTGCACCGCCAGTGCTCCGGGCCCATGACTCGGCTCCTTCCCTCCGCTCATCCTCTTCTTGCCTTTCTGCATTCTCTCCCTTTGCCCCGCACCCCTTCTAGCTCTTCACCCCTCTCTTCCCTTTCCTTCCTCCCTTCCTGTTGTTAATCTAGGCTCCCCTAGGTGCCTAAGACTGCCCACCCCACAATGACCTCCCTCTTGCCAGCACGGGAGCACTTCTCAGTGCTTCCCTCACTTCACCTGGAGGCAGCCTTGGACTCCATGGGCGCTTCCTTCTCTTATTATTGGATCCCCTGTTTCCTCTGACTTCTGTTATTCCACACTCCTGGTTACTCCCTGTCCTCCTGCCCTTGTGTTTCCTCCCTCAGGGGTCTCTTTTCACCTGTGATCCACCTGGGGCTTTTTGCTACTTCTGGACACTAATTATTCACGACACTCTGATCCAGTCCCATTCTGTCCTACTTCCTGGACTTATTTACCCAGTTGTGGTTGGCTGTCCTGTAGACACCTCAAGCTTAATGTATTTAAAAATACATTATTCCTTCCCTAAAGGAATACTCATCTTTCCTTCCCTACCCACCCCCATATCTGTGTCTTCCTCTGTGTGTGCTTTCTGGGTGAATGCCCACACTCATAATCTGTGCAAGAACCCACATCAGAGACCTGGCTCCCCCAGCTCCTCAGCATCCTTCCTCTTTTCACACACTCAGGCAACCGAGGAGCCCAGTGGTTCTGATTCTCTAGTGTCCTATAGCTTAGGGTCTACAGAGTGGTGCCCCTCCGCCGTGTGTCTCGGCTCAAAGCTGCCTCTCTGCCTGACACTGCATCTGCATCACTTGCCTGCAGTTTGAAACACCATCCTACCTGGTCTCCTGCCTCCATCCTCCACCCCTCCAGTCCAGTGTCCACATAGCAGCCAAGAGAATCTTTGCAACAAGGAAGACTGCTGCTGAACTCCTCTCGGGGGCCCCTTGTGCCTCAGAATAAGTCCAAATGAGAGAGAGAGCAGCCACCTCTGCCCCCTTGGCTGTCTCCAGTGTCCCAGGCCACTCTTGAGTGTCCAGCTAAATGGAACTGTGGTTACTTGCAGTTCCCCGAACGTTTGAGGTGCTCCTCTCTGGGCTTTGTCACATGCTGTTCCTGTTGTCTGGAAGGGTCCTCCTTTTATGCCCCTTCTCCTGGATAACTCCTCCTCCTAGCATCACCCCCTCCTCCCTGCCCCACACCCTCTCCTGGTGCACACTACACCTTCCCACTGTAATTGCGCTCTGCCTCCGTCCAGGCTGGGTACATGGGCCTAGTACCTCACGTGTTACTGTGGCCATACCAACCTGCCTAAAGAAAGCGCTCTGGACGGGGCTTTTGTGGAATGAGTGCTGTTTCTCCCACACTTCCTCCAGCTGGAGATCAACGATGTGACCAGGGCCTGGGGGCTGGAGGTGGACCGCGTGGAGCTGGCAGTGGAGGCCGTGCTCCAGCCACCCCAGGACAGCCCAGCGGGGCCCAGCCTAGATAGCTCCCTGCAGCAGCTGGCCCTCCACCTCCTGGGAAGCAGTGTCACTTCAGGGGCAGGAGCTGCCCGGCTCCCTGGACCAGGTGAGGAGTCTCAGGGAAAGGGTGGTGTCCTCCCCAGGGCGTTCATCTTGGTGTCCAGCACAGACTGAGCTTTGCCTCTTGTTCCTTTAACCAAGCAGCTTGTGCAGTGCACACCCTGCCCAGCTGTTCCAGCCACCCCGATTCTAGAGCTGGCCAGAACTAAGGCAGGGAGAAGAGTCTGAGTGTGCGGAGGCCTTTGGGAGCCTCCATGGGAGGAAGCAACAGCATCCAGAAGAAAGTTTAAGACTCAAGGCTGGAGTGTTTTAGAAATGGGGGTTGGGGTTATAGCTAAAAACTCAAGGGCAGCCTCTTCGAAGAGGAGGAAACTGAACACAGGCCTGCAGGGGATGTAAGAGAGAACGCTGAGAAGGAGGGCCTGCAGGGGAGGCCACCGTCGTCCTGACCTCGGCAGTGCACCGACTTCCTTCTCTCTGCCTCCCTCCCCCATCCCGTCGGCCACCACCAGCAGATACCTTGGAGATGGTGAGCGAGGTTGAGCCGTCTGCCCCTCATGGGGGTGCCAGGTCCAGCCCCAAGCAGCCTGTGGCTGAGGGGCTGCTGACGGCTCTGAAGCCCTTCCTGTCGGAGGCCCTGGTCAGCCAGGTCGGGGCCTGCTACCAGTTCAACGTTGTCCTGCCCAGCGGCCCCCAGAACATCTACTTCCTGGATCTCACTGCAGGTGCCGCTGTCCCCTGTCCGCTCCTTCCCCCTGGGGTTGCTCATAGCCCTACCACCTGTGGTCCTTTTCAGCCCAGGCCCTGCTCCTGCCAGCAGTTTAGGGCAAACCCATAGCTGTCAGGAGCTCAAATGCCATTTGCAGGCAGTGACTGCCCAGGCCTTGGGTTTCCTGTCCCATCCCCATGAGCAGGACCACCCAGATGGCCGGGCTGCCTGGACCAAGAGCTCTGCACACATTGCAGGCCTGTTTGTGCCAGGCTCTGTCTGAGTGTGTTTTGCACGTCATCTCACCTACTTCTTATCATGAACCTGTGACTTAGTGATTATTATCATCCTCATCTCACCAGTTTGGAAACTGAGGCTTTGAGTGGTCACACAGTCAGTAGGACTTGAACCCTGGGTATTAGTGCCTGAGCTCTTAGCCAGTCTTCCCACCCCTCACAGTGGGATGTGCTGACCTCTTCTACCCCCTGTAGCATAGCTGTCCCCCCACTAATTCTCAGCTTTCTTTCTCCCCACAGGGCAAGGGAGGGTGGGACGCGGAGTGCCTGATGTCATCCCTGACGTGGTGGTGGAGCTGTCCGAGGAGGACCTGCAGGCCCTGTTGTGCAGGGAGCTTCGGCCCCTGGGGGCCTACATGAGTGGGCGGTTGAAGGTGAAGGGTGACCTGGCCGTGGCCATGAAGCTGGAGGCTGTCCTCAGGGCCTTGAAGTAGCAGGTTTGGCTGCCTGTCGGTAGCCTGGCTCTGAGCCAGGCACCTAGCCAGGGAGACATCTTGGAGGAGGAGGCCCTGGCACTGTACCTTGGATTGTTGAAGCCCTGGGGAGTGTCAGACCCAGCGGGAGACAGTGAGTGGAGGCTGGGAGACACGGGAGCTAGGAGAGGCTGAGTCAGGCAGCCCTGCCCTTCTCACCCACAGCGGTTCTCTCAGCAAGTGTTTGCTGATCCTGGTCCCCTGCCCAACTGGGTACACAGGCAATAACAGGAGAGCCAGGCCTGCTCTGCTCCTCTGGCGACCTGGCTGGAGAGGCAGGGCTGACAGAAGCAGCCCAGCAGCAGCTGGCTTGGTCCTGGTGTGAGGGAGCTCTGCATGAGACTCAGGCTCCAGGTTCCAGAAGAGGGGGTCAGAGAGGGGGTTAGAGCAGCTCGGGGAGGGAGAGAGAAGGGACCAAGCAGAGGTCCTTGCACTGGGAGGGATCTGAGGTTGGGCCGGGTCTGCCTTGCTGACTGCAGTCCAGGCCCAGACTGGCGATGGGGGAGGGGAGGGAGGCGGGGGGCACCCTGCTCCTGAGGGTGTCTGGACTCATCTCCCAGCCTCAGTCTTGCATGCCCGACGGGCTGGGCCCAGGGCAGCATGACGGAGAGCCCTGCCGTTCCTGTGCTTCTTACCAGAGGTTTGAAAACCTCAAATAAATGTGCTGTTTACAATGTATCTGGAGAGAAATAGGGGTCAAGGGGGTGGGGAAGAGGGCTCCGAGGCGATGTCCCTGCTGCCAGCCCGGGACCCAGGCCATGAAGGATGACGCGAGCCCCAACAATGCTCTGGAATCACCCACAGTTCCCCTTCCTGATGAATGTCTGAAGGCGGGCAGGAGCAGGCACTGTGTTCCTCTTTATAGTCTGGGTAGAGGTTTGCAGGAAGGATGTGGGTGTGACAGAGCTGGTCGGGCAAACCGTTAATCCAACGAAGGGCAGGGGCTCCTGTCACACTCGAGAGGAGTTGGAGCTATTCTCACCTGCCCCTCCTGCTTACCCCTGGTCACTGTTTCCCCAGTGGTCTGGCCCAAACCCCAGGGACCCCCAGAGAAGGAGGGCCTTAGACATCTTGAGTTCTAAGGAATGAATCTCACATCCCAGAGAGGCTTGTGGAAAAAACCCCACGGAAATCCGAGCCTTCTCTTTGAGGAACAGCCTCTGGCTTGTTCTCTGGCACCAAGCCTTCCCCCGCAGGGCCCTGTCCAGCTTCCTTGGCACCAGGCTCCATCCAGCTTACCCTTTGGTTCCTGGCAGTGCCCGCCTTGGCCCTCCTCTTGTAGGTCCTCCCGGAGTAGAGGGAGGGTTTCCACTGGGTTCAGGTTTCAGCCCCAGGGCCCCTCTCTGAAGGGCCAGAGCCCCAGGCTTCGGACCCTAGCCTGACCCTCTCTCCACTGCTCCGGAGGCTGCCCAGCCGGGGCCGCCTGTTCAAAAGCCTTCCCTCCAGTCCCCACCGCCCATGAGCCCTAGTGGGGCCTGGGCTCCCCCACTGCTTTGGGGCTGTCTTTGAGCCCATTGCCCGCTGTTTCTGTTACTGTTCTTGTGTGAGTGTCTGCCCTCCCTGCTGGATCCTGAGCTTCATGCCTGAGCCGTTCATCACTGTTCCCCACACAGTGCCCCAGGGGTGGGAGGGGAAGCCCCAGGCGCCTTCCTCCTGAGAGTTTAGGGGAAACTGAAACTCAGATTTTCTTTGTGGGTGTGAGGAGCAGCATCATGGGGGGAAACGGAAACTTTTATAGATGTCTGTGTGGGTGGAGAGCAGAATCTGCTGCCAGCCGTGAATGCCCTCATCCCATCGAGGGGAACTCATTCCTTGGCGAGGCCAGCGCTCCAGGACAGGGAGCCCACAGGCTCAGGCCTCTGGGCTTCGCAGGACCCAGCGGACTCTGCAGTCTCGGGGGTGGGGGTGCAACGAGGGGCACCTCACGGGGCCAGAGTGTGAGGGGTGGAGGAGGAAAGGGTGTCCATCAGAGAAAGCTTGCTGAGGAGTTGATGCCCGAGACTCACAGTTTACACGGACATGAGAGAAGGAAGGAAATGGGGGAGACACTCGGCAGAGGGGAGAGTCCCTGTGAGGCCACAGGAAGGGGTAGCAGGCACCTCCGATTTGGGGGACTGGGACCTAAAGTCTGAGCGGGGCTGTGTGCAGGGATTTTGCAGTGGTAACTGATCCTGTGTGCCAGCCCTGCCCCTGTTCCGCATTGGCGCTTCCTGTGTGTTTCCCCAAGGTAACCCGATGAATAATGGTAACTCAAACAGTTAGGCTATGCTTTATCTATGTATAATGTGTTTTTCTGATATTATTTTTTAAATAAGTATTTAGTTTTGAATAGAGAAGTTTAAAAAGGCAAGCTATGAAAATTGTTCCTTATACTCTTAACTCCATTCACGTAGTTTCAAACAGATATCCCCTGGTATTAGTTTCCAAGTTATTCTTCCAGAAGTTGGAGTTTGGGGATTTCCCTGCTGGTCAAGTGGTTAAGACTCTGTGCTTCCACTACAGAGGGTGCAGGTTCAGTCCCTGGCCAGGGTTCTAAGATCCCACATGCTGTGCTGCACAGCCAAAAAAAAAAAAAAAGAAGTTGAAGTTTTAAAAAAATCTACTTGCAAGAAAATCCAAATATATTATTCTCTGGGATTTTTATTTTTTTTTTTACAGAAATGGCAGCATAGCAAATACAATGTTAATCTGTTCACTTAACATTGTGCTTGAGACTCTTTCCACATTTGCACACCTAGACTTACCCTGTCCAATTTTATATTAATAGTTACATAGGATTCAATTGTATGGGTATATCATAGTTTATTTTACGTGGTTTGGATTGATATACATTCAGATTATTTTTTTATGTTTTGCTATTTCAAACATTCTTGCAGTAATAACCTTTCACATATGCTGTTGTGGTTAAAGTTCATCTGTGGGATAAAGTCCTAGAAAGGAAATTGCTAGGTCAAAGCATTTATAATTTAGTATTGCCCAAATGCCTTCTTTAGGGATTATTCTAATTTACACTCCCCTCATCAGTAAGTGAGAGTCTGTTTTTCCTCACAGACATGCCAACACAATGTGTTATTAAACTCTGGAATTTTTTGACAGTTCAGTAAATTAAAAAGTTCATCTCAGTGTGATTTTTTTTGAAAGTTGTTCAATTGTTTATTGCTTTTTAAGGTTTGGATTTTCCATCCCAGCAAAAGCACAGGGTTTCTTTTTAGTCCCAGATAAAAAGCACAGAATTTACCTTTTTAACAGATAATAGGATAAAATGCACTCATTTTTTAATAGTAAAAGATGTTTATCATTTTTCACAATAAGTAGCCAGATAAAAGATAATTATAATTGCAAGCCATAATGGAAACATGATTAACCTAAAAATAAAATTACATACAGTTTGGGGGGTATACATGCATATGTTTTCATCCACCTAGCCAGTCTGTGTCTTTTGGTTGGTGCATAAATGCACCCATTTTAAATGTACTTTGACAAATGGAACACCAAGTAACCACTACCCACCAGAATCAAGATATAGAACGTTTTCATCAACTCATGTGGTTCCCTCTATCCCTTCCCATTCAATCTTCAATCTCCTCACCCCCAGGCCCAGGCCCAGGGTCACCACTGATCTGCTTACTAATAACTATTGATTAAATTTCACATCTCTAGAATTTCATACAAGTGAAACCATGCCATGTGTATCCTTTTGTGTCTAGCTTCTTTCTGTAGTTCTTTTGAATCATCTGTTATTATGTGTACCTATAGTTACTGTTCTTTTTTATTGTTAGTGATACTCTGTTGAATGGATAGAAGTACAATTTACATATTCAGCTGTTGATGGACATTTGAGTAGTTTTCAGTTTTGATCAAAGCTTCTCTGGACATCTGTCTGTGTACAAGTCTTTGTATAGATACATGTTTTCATTTGGGTAAATACTGAGGAGTATTTCTTCTGGCTCTAGAAACTGCCAAACCAATTCCTGGATGGTTGTGCCAACACTTGGTGGTGGTAGTCATTTCCAGTGGGTCTGCCTGATGACTTTGAGCCCCCTTTTGGGTGCTCGTTGGTTATATGTCTCTTTTTGTGAAGTATCTGTCAAATATTTTTTCTCACTTTAAAATCTGGCTTTATCTTGTTGGTATAATATTCATATTAGTTCCAAGAGTTCTTAGTAAATCCTGGATACATGTCTTTTAGCAGATACTTGAAATATTTTCTCCCAGACTGTAGCTTGGCTTTCTAACTTCTTAACGATTTATTTTTAAAAACAATAGATTTTAATTTTGATGAAGTTATCTGTAATTTTTTATGTATTTATGTATTTGTTCATCTGTTTGTGTTGGGTCTCAGTTGGGACACACGGGTGGGGTGCTCATTTGTCGTGAGGGATGCTTGCAGTGCGTGGACTCCTTAGCTATGGCACTCGGGCTCAGCGGTGGCATGTAGACTCCAGAGTGGGCTTGCTTCAGTAATCGCGGCTCATGGTCTTAGTTCCCCGTCCAGGGGTCAAACTTGAGTCCCCTGCATTACACCGTGGATTCTTAACCACTGGGCCACCAGGGAAATCCCTATAATTTTTTCATGGTTAGAGGTTTTGTATCCTTTCCTGGAAATCTTTGCTCATCTTTGCTGAAGGTGTTGAAGATTTTCCCCTGTGTTTTCTAGTACCTTTAGGCACAGTGCCTTAAAGTACTAGCTGAATCTATAAACTTTTAGAAGTACTTTTAGTACTTTTAGGCCTGATGCACTCTGAGTTACTTTTTGTATATAGTATGAGATAAAAGGCTGAGATGTTTCCCCCAGCCCACGTCCCCCTCTCCATATGGGTATCCAGCACTTCATGTTGAAAAGATATATTTTTCCCATTGAATTACCTCAAATCTTGAAATTTTTCATGTCTCTTAGTTTGTGTGAAGTTGAAATTTTGTAATATGTTTAGGAGCTATTGTGTTTCTTTTCCTGTGAAATG